CAGAGATGATAGACACGGATTAACACTAACATCCCCCACATTAGTTTAGTAGCACACGTTTGATTAGAATACCTAGACTAGAACCTTTGTAAGACTGTTTAAAATCTTGACATTTGCTTCTTCCTATTAACTGACTCTCGGTGACATGTTCCGGTCTTGTAAATAATGTCCCCTGCTCAGCTGCGTATAATGATGTTGCAACATAATTATCTGTTAGGGTTTTTTTGACCTGTGGGTCAGGCAGACACTGCTGATTGTTTATCTGCTATTTATTCATCTATTCTCCATTCTCAAAATGTCAGTGCTAATGAAAATGTGAGTTTTAACTAACGTCTCTTCCCCAGACTCTCTTTAGTCTAGAGTTTCTCCACATCATTCTATTTTCCTAAATCAAACAAACTTTTTACCTTTGCTCTGTTCTTTCTTTCCAAGTAAGACATGCACATGACATCCAGAGACGGAACAGCTGTGTTCTTCTACCAACACCATCATATATCAGGAGAATGGCAGAAGAGAAAGATGGGTGGATCTCTTAGAAAATACCCCAGTTTGGAACCAATATAGGACCAAACCAGGCCCCCTGAACGTGGTTGTCAGCTAGGAACACTGGGAAGTCTATGGGGCCTCTGGCAGTGGAACCAGGATGTATCCCTAGTGCACGGATGGACGTCGGGAGTCCATTACCCATGGAGGGATACTCTATTAGCCTAGATACACAGGGGAGGGCATAAGCCCTGCCTCAAATGAGTTGACAGATTTTAATGATTCCTCATGGAGGGCCTTACCCTCCCTCGGGAGTGTATGGGGGATGTGATGGGGGGGCAGTGGGGAGCATGGGAGTATGGAAGGGAGAGGGAACTGGGATTGATATGTAAAATAAGATTGTTTCTAATATATATATATATATATACATATAACGAAATACTTAAAAAACAAGAAGAAAGTAAATACCCCAGCTTAAGACCACTCACCCCAGACCTCTTAGTTGTTACTTCTGATGTTTTTGCTTTGAGACAAGTTTCCCTGTATAGCCCAGGCAGGCCTTGATCTCCAAGTCCTCTTGCCTGTGCCTTCCAGTGCCAGGATTATAGGTGTGTACTGCCACTGCTAGCTCTCAGATTTCCTTATGTAATACTCAGCTAGGCTACTGCTGTCTGCTATGTGATGTTGAGCAGAGTTAACTGATACTGTCTTCAGAAGAAGCCATGATTGTTTTCTTGTGAAAACCAGTCTATTACTGTGTTTTTACATGTCATGAGACACTAGTCAGTACTTATTATGTCATATTAAGATGTAGTTCCTCAACCAGGAAGGAGTGGCACATGCCTTTAATCCCAGAACTCAGGTAAAGCAGAAGCAGGTGGATCCCTGTGAGTTCGAGGCCAGCCTGGTCTACAGTGTGAGTTCTAGGACAGCCAGAGCTACACAAAGAAACCCTGTTTCAAAAAGAAAACAAAACAAGACAACAACAACAAAAAGATGTAGTCTTTTTGTACTTGGTGGAGGAAACATATAGACTGGAGAAGTTTAAATGTGCTATTTACTCAATATCTCCTAAGAAATGACCTTGACATGTGAAATAAGATATCTAAAGTCCAAATTTGGTGGCAAAGGTTAAAGATTTGTCATTCATGAGAAATGAGCACTGTGACTTGAGAAACAAAAATAGAAAAATGTGTTTGAATTTCAAGTACATAAAAATTTTTTTAAATCCAAATAAAAAGTGATGATATGAAGTATATTCTAATCTCAGGGGTTGGTATATGTAGAGAGTAATGGAATTCTTACTATCAGCTCTAAACTAAAGGAACCTCTACAACATTCTGTCATGCTCATAGATCAGTCAGAGAAGCTTCCTCCTGTATCGAATGGGAACTAATGTGGAAATCCATGATTGCTGAGAGTGAGGGACTTTGAACACTTGGTCCTAGGTGGGATGTCTTCACCAAACCTCTCCCCTCAGGCTCAGGGGGCTATGCAGAAGTAGAAAGATTGTAAGAACTAGAGGTAGAGAATGGCATTAAGGAGACAGTGTCTTCTAGACACAAAGGGACTGACACACATAGGTATTCACAGAGACTGTCAGCATGCACAGGTGGAGTGCCATCACTGAGATGGGTACTTGGACACAAGGCCCCATCCCCCACCCAGAAGCTACCTCCAATAGTTAGCTCACAAAGGAAATATGTTTTCCCCCCAATGGAGTCCCACTGGGTATAGAAGCCACACCTAGGTTCACTTTACAGGAATCTCATACAGTTTATTCTCTTCTATGTCTCTGATCATGATAATGCATCATTTCAGAGAACATGCTTACTTGTCCATGTTTTCCAGTGCACACATGCAAGATTTTTCTCTGGAGGAGTAACTGCTGGGTGTCTGGGTGTACACATCCAGTGTGACTCCACATTGTGATGAGCATGCTTGGCCCCTTAACGTGCGTTCCTGCACATTCACAGGTTTCTAGTAGTCATACCCCTATATCCTGACAGATGGGTTGCTTAGGAGTACCAGACCAAATGCATGTGTAATGCTGTAGCATTTGACTGCAGTCCTTGTCTCTCCAGTTGCTAACACAGTCCTCTATTACACTTACAGGTCATTCTTTTATGAGGACCTCCATGGTTTTCCTCATTTTGATTTCTTTCATGTTGATCTGTATACATCCTGTATGATAGTTTTTGGTTATATTTGTCAAAAATGTTTCCTTCTTTTTCATCTTTTTTGACCACTGTTTAACATTTTTTTGGTTAATGGTCTTAAAGTGAATTAATCAATCTTTTCTTTTGTAATTTGATTGCTTCTTTTTTGAAAAAATATGTTCTAATATTATAAGGATTGGGGAAGAGAACTGGGATTGGTATGTAAAATAGGATTGTTTTAAATTTAAATAAAAAACAGGAAAAAGGTTTTTTCATAGATGGTCTTATAAAAAGTATTATTGAAATGAGTAGTGACTGGACATGTTTCAGGGCTTGTGAAATTAAGACCGGAGGATCAGGAGTTCAAGACCATTTGGGGCTATATGGTGATACCATGCCTCAGGAAAAAAACGTTCACATTATTCTCTAATACTTTAATAACTAATTTGTGTTAGGCAGATGTCAAAACTTCAAGATAGCTCCAAGAATCCCTATGTCCAATATTCACACTCCCATGTAGTATATCCCCCATTAAATACAGATGATATTCCAGTTTGCTTTATGTTGTTGTGATTTTTTTAAAAATGACAAAAAGACAATTTGGGGAAGAAAGGGTTACAATTCTGGTCACAATTCTTCACTGATGAAAGTCATAGCAGGAGCTCAAAGTGGGATCCTGGAGGGGTGGGGGACCTCCACAGATCACTGCTTATTGCCTTGGCCTTTTGCTTGCCTTCAGCTCCCATTTTTATATAGCCCAAGCCCTCCTGCCTACAGACTGTACCATGCATGGGCAGGCATCCTACATCAACTAGCAATCAAGAAAATGCCCCCACAGACTTCCCTACAGGCCAATACAATAGAGGCAATTCTTTAATTAGGGCTCCCTCCTCCCAGGTATGTCTACCTGACAGTCAAGATTAGCCATCACAGATAGCTAGTATAATAACTTAGACACGAAAGAAGACTCTTTGTAAAAATCAAACTCAACCTCTGAGCCATGGTAATAAAAGCTTTGCAATTTCTGCCTGGCTCTCTCAAAATATCTGGTTCTCGGGGAAGCTAATCACAATGTTATGAAGGTACTGGGGAGTACTGTAGCAAGGAGCTCAGCCCTGGAGCAGGAACTCACAAGAAACTGACAGGCAAATGCATGTAGGTACGATGCTTGACTAGAAGGGAACCTTCCAGCTGCAGGGAAGACTTCAGAAGATAGACACTGGCCGGTGTCTCCCCTGCAGCCTCATTAGGACTCACAGGTCACTGGATAGCCTGTTCCTGGGTTCTTGACCCACAAAACTGTACAAAATCAGTATTTATTCTCAGTTGTAGTCCTAAATTCTGGAGTGATACCTCTCACAACAATATCCAACTTAAAGCTTATCTCTTTAGTTATCTTCAAGAGAAATTATTATAAATTTCAAAATGTATATGGATCTGTTTCTAAGTTTTTTAGCTTATTGCATTAGTTTGTCCTTCGTTATTTAATTACCATAGCTATATAATTTTTAAATATCCAATAAGGTATACTTCCAAGATTCAGCATTCCCCAAGAAAGTCTCATCTATTTCTAAAAAATAATAATTTAAATCAAATCTTCCTGAATTTCATACACATACACAGTATATTTGGATCATATCCATCCCCACGGTTCCCTCTAACTTCCTCCATACCTGCCCAACGTATCTCTCTCCCTCCCAACTTCATGTCTCTTCTCCCTTTTTAAAAAGTAACCCACCAAGTCCAACTATGGTATCCATATATGCATGGGTGTAGGGCCACCCACAGGAGCATAGGCAACCAGTGGCCACGTACATTCAAAATGACTGCTCCACCCCTAAACAACCACCAGCTGCCAATATATAGCTCCTCAGCTAACAACAGGGACTTGTAAACCTGGCCACAAACCATACTGGCATTTTGAATGGCTTGTACAGGTAATCTCAATGTCTATGAGTTTATATATGATGACCTGGTCATTTCCAGAAGACAGCACTCCTCACCACTCTCCACCTCTTATTTTCCTCCCACCCCCCCTTTTTTTTTTACAATGTTACCTGAATCTTAGATGGATAAAGTTGTCTGCTTTGAGGTCTGAGCATTCCCAGATCACTTTTTTTCTTTTGTTGAAAATATAATTTTTTTCATACAATATATTGTGATTATGGTCTCCCCTCCTCTGATCCTCCCAGTTCCTCCCCACCTCCCCTTCCATCTAGGTCCACACCCTTTCTGTCTCTTAGAAAATCAGGCATCTAAGGAATAATAATAAGAAAGATAAAAAAGACAAAGAAGTGATATGACAAAGCAACCAAATAAAAATAGCCAAACAAAAAGTACAAGAAATGCATATAGATGCAGAGACACACCCACCCTCACACACACGGGAATCCCATGAAAACGCAAAAACAGTTTATGTAAATAACATGCATGTAAATAAAGGGCCCTATAAGGGTAAAAAGAATACCCAGCTTAATGTTCTGAGACAAAGAGCCTCCATTCAGTAGGTTTGGTGTTAGCCATGTATTACTGGGTGTGTGGCCTATCCTTAAGAGCAGGTGGTAACTCCAGTGAGACTCCGTTGGAGAAAGCTAAGTTTTCAATTGCAAGTTGCTATCAATTGGAGGTAGCTTCCAGGTTAGGGATGTGTCCACTTCTCCTTTCAGCTCTAGGACTTCACCTGATGCAGGCCGGGCATGCTGCCTCAGTCTCTCTGAGTTCATATTTACGCCAGCCCTGCTGTGTCTAGGTCTTGATTCTTTGGTGTCTTCCATTCCTTCGGGACCTTATGTCCTTTAAACTTCCTCTTCCATAGTGTTTTCTGAGCCCTAAGAAGAGGGGTTTGATGGAGATATCCTTTTTGTGGCTGAGTGTTCAAAGGTCTCTTGTCTACATATTGTCTGGCTGTGGGTCTCTGTAATTGTGCCCATCTGCTGCAGGAGGAAGCTTCTCTGATGATGGCTGAACAAGACACAGATCTATACGTATAGCAAAATGTCATTAGAAGTCATTTTATGGCTGTTTCTTTAGCAGAACAATAGGATTTGTTTTTCCCTGAGGTTTCTGACCTGTCTGGTCTTGGGTTCTTCTCAACATGTTAGTCAACTGTAATCAACTGTATTCAACCCTTAGTTCCTTTACCCATTAAGAATCACCTTGTAATTGTCTTTTGGGAATCCTGCTGCTTTTGAGTTCATGACAGTAAATCCTCGGTGCTATTGGGTATATGGAATCTCATACATATATATCCAAAGTGTATTATTTAGAACTGTCTTTCAATGTGTTTTACATTTTCTTTGCATATACTGTATTGCTAACTTTGTCCCTAAGAATTTTATTTTTATACATGAGCATGACATAGACAATATAGCTTTAAGGAAAATATAAATTTAAATGGCATACAATTCATGAAATTGATCAATCCTGGAAGCAGACACACAGGAAGTATGCAATGATTTTCTTAAATCACATATGTTAATTAGTGAGTAAATAAATGGGCATCAATCATTCACCTTTCCCAGGCTCATGAACCTATTTACAAACTATTTCAGAAGCCCTTCTACTTATAGGTTTCCCATCCACAATACAGGGAGGGGGTGGGGGGGTGGGGAGAGGGAATCCTGATGTTTTGAGTTCTTTGGAAAGTATGTCTCCATCAGAGTCACACCAGGATTAAGGCATAGTTCCCAAGTGGTATGAAACAGTACATTGCATGGACTTCTCTCCTTCCCTACAACACTCTCCTCTCTGCTGGTTCTGGCACATCCCTGGGTCTCTATCCTCCTTCTCATATTCAGCTCCACGGACTGCTTCCTCCAGGCTCTCACAAGGCCTTGGGCCTTCTACATTCAGTTTTATCGCTGGTATTGTTTCTTTTCATTTGTTATACATATTAGTCTCCAATTTGGAGGAAAATAGAAATGGAAATGTTTTAAAGAATCATGGCAGCTTCTTACTCTTTAAGCATCCAGCCCCTGTAACATGAAATTTCTAAGTATTTTTACAAGCTTAATGCCAGACAGCTCCTGTCACTAATTTGTTAAAAAGCCTCTTGTGCTCCTTGGCAATTTAATAACTTTTGTTCGTTTTTCAAAATCTTTGGGAAAAAGATTGTGTTCAAACTGGGCCAAGACATGCGTTTCCTGTGGGTGAAGCAGAATTTTGCAAAACAAAATGATTCAAGCAGATGTCCATCAAGGGAGTGCCAGGATGGGTGCTAGGATCCACAAACATGAACATCCAATCGATGGCAGCATGTTTCTCTGTCCTACTCAAGAGTCTTTGGGAGTAGGACTCCATTTTTTTAAAAGTATTTACAAGAATTTCTTAAATTTCATTTAAATCTCTTTGACCTATGTTGCTATGAATTTTGTGGGAAACAAGAAACTACACATGGGCCTTTACCTCTGAGTGAATCATGTGTTAGGACAGAGTTTCTGTGACTCACCCCAAGCTTATTTCTCCCCATGTCCTACAAAGTCTCTTATCATGTGCAGTATGCATTGTAGCCTGCATGTAATAAACTTTCCAATATTGTCCTACTGTGTGAACCCAGTTATCCTAGAAATTGGTTTACTCCCTTGGGAGAATTGACTCTGCCAACACAAGGAATGCCAAAGGCAAGATGTGTCCTACCAATAATTCTGTGCCCAGCATTACATCTTTGTGAACTCAGGGGCATTATGTTTGTCACTGTCTGTCTCTGTCTCTGCTTTGAACTCAGAGCTATCTAGAATAAAAGCTTCACAGAATGCCAGTAAAGCACTCACACTGGAGCACCATTGCCTAGAGTTCCCTGGTCCTGAATCTAGAACTCTTCAGTTCCTCATAATAGCCAATGGCAGTCCACATATGTGGCACCCTAAACATGGATGCAACTGAAGCACAAGGAGCCTACCTAGTAATGTAGAACCATGAGGTCCTGGTAAGCACTCAGCGGACCTGCTCCAGGGTGCTGGGCTAACACCATGGGTTAAACTGAACGCACAAGGGAAGATGGTATGCTCTTAATGTCCATGATGCTAAAAAGATCTGAGGAGAAAACACAAAAGCAAAATTTCTGTGACCTGTGAAAGTATTTAGACATATATTGTTACAGGCTGCCGGCACAGGGACCATTGTGCGGGAAGCAATGGAAGGTTGTCTGCATTCTTTGATGGAGAGCAATGATCCCATTAAATGTTTGGTCTCTGTAATTTGATCGCCTTAGTATTCAGCCATTACAAACTCCTGCTCCATTGGTACATGAAGTAACCACAGCACAGCCAGTCCCTGGAGAGAGGAAATGAGAAGATCAATATTGTCATGAAGCAACATAATTTCAATTATGAGGATCCTTTCAAAGCACTGTTTGAAAGGATGGCATCACCATCCCTAAAGAGGAAAGTACATTTTGCATGCTGCAATCATCACCACCCACTTGGGAACAATTGGAAAAACAAACTTACACAAGAGTCTAAGCTCCTCATCCAGGTGGCAGGTTAAGCTGTCACCGCCACACCATATTCCTCATAATATAGCTATCATTCATGTTCACTCTGTACAAAGAGATTTGTCAACCATCTGTCTCTATTGTGGGTTCAGATGTGATAGGTTCTCCACTGTTGCTAAATTGTACTTATTGTACTTTCAGATACAGTGGAACTGTTGTTGGCCCCATTAAATGGTTACAGGGATGGGTGTCTCAAAAAACAAAACCAAAAACAACCAACATCAATAACAACAAAGACATTTAGCACAAACTGAGAGGTCCTTGTAGATATATCTCTGATCGAACTAAAAGGAATAAGGTAAATTTTGGTATTTTTGAAGACTCCACTTTCATATTTCATATAGAATCATTTATACAAAACTCAAGGAGGGCAAGCAAGGTAATTTTTATGCAAATGTGACTTTAAAAGTAGACTTATTTGTATCCACTATTATTCCTTATCAATAAAATCTGGGGTTATAGACACCATGAGCACAATCTTGTCTCATGTTCAGGAGGACAATCTGTTCATCATCTCTCAGAAAAAAATCTTATTGGATTGTTTATAAGCTATGGTGACTATGCTAATGCCACAGTTGACAGTGTCACTTCACAAGGTGATCCAATTAAGAAATCTAACCCAAACTTACCACTGCCTTTTGAGTATAGACTCGTGGCTTATGTATTGACTGTATTAATACTGACTATGCACCCCCTAAATGTACTGTGCAAAGAAATACAACTTTGGCCTTAGGTGAAGCTTCACCTATGGATGGGCTTTCCTGTGTAAGAACACAACCTTTCCAGCACTGCCAACCAATCTCACAGATATTGCTCTACAGGCAGTTGAGCACATTCACAGAGTAGAGAGAAAATGACCGCATGCATGCTTTTGCTCTGCTAACTTCCTCCTCTTTTATATATTCTTGTGTCCAAACCCAGAGAATGGAACTACTCACAGTCAGTCTGAGTCTTCCTGCATCCCTTAACACCATCAAGACAATCCCATCACAGCCACGCCCACAGGCTAACCTAAGGTAGGCAGTCACTCATGGAGATCCTCTTCCTGTCTTCTTAGGGAAGTTGACATTCTAGGATGGGCAGAAAACTGGTTACAAAATGCAAAGAGGAGCCCACAGCAGGGAGGTGACTAGGAGGGTTCAGGAATATCAACTGCAGAATATGCTTAAATGGCTTTTTGTGAGTCGCCATCTTCTAGTGTCAAATTGACAATAAAGAAGCTGTCACAGTGTACTTCCATGAACAATAACTAACTTTCAAGTACTGCCTCAATACTGTTGCTAATTTGGTTGACATGTGAAAAAACTCTATTTTCATATTTGATTATAAAAGGGAGTATATTTCTAGATCCTCGGATAAACTAGAAAGGTGATTATTTTCCTTAAAGAATAGAGTGTGGGTGTAAACTTCACATTAATAATTTTATGCTATTACATAAAAACCTATTGATTTTTCTCTCATATGAGTAGATGACTTAGTAGCATTATTGCTCGTTAGAAATAATAAATTCCACTGAAATGTACAGATCTCCTGAATGTTAATACAATATAGTATATAATTTCATAAGTGAGTTTAGATGTTGAGAAACACTATATCCATGCTGGTAAATACACTTTTTCCTATCCCTTGAAAACTTAAATTTTTATCATTGTCAGCAAATTGTCCATTGTTTTCCTAGAAATAAAATCACTTTGGTTTTGAGGAGAGGTCTGCCAAACAGCCAAATCTGAATACCCAGCCCAATTCTGGGGCTTAAACCCGGAATTTGGTGTATCATAGGCAAGTGTGCTACTGCTGAGCTACACCACAGCCTACCATTCTGTAGAGCGGTGATTCTCACCCCTTTCAGAAGGGTCAAATATCAGATATCCTGCATATCAGATGCTTACATTGCAATCTGAAACCATAGCAAAATTATAGTTATGAAGAAGCAACATAAATAATTGTATGGTTGGAGGTCACCACTACATGAGGAAATGGATTAAAGGGTTGCAGCATTACAAAGGTTAAGAACAACTGCTTTAGACAATGTTTTATGAACACAGCACATTCAGTTTACAAAGTGCTTCTCTTTAGCAAACCATAATACTCAATTAAGTCATAGACTGTCTAAATCTTAATTTGTCACATAGAACAGTAACAAAACATTCTCAATTGAAATTCATTGGACACCTTCTGTACTACTCTATGGAATACACTTGCAGAATGACATTTTACTTTTGGCAGTGAGTTTGTGCCCATGAAGAGTACAATAGCTACCCACCACTCTAGTCTGTGCACACCCATTTCCTGCTCAGGTTTCGGTGGCCACTCTCGACTTAGCATCAGTGCACATGTCAATACTGCAAAAAGCAAGTGTGGTCCTACTAGCCACAAGAACAAGCTTGATGCTGTGAATCTCTGCAAGGTTCTCTCCCGTATCCTCTGACCATGTAATCAGAACTGCACAAGGCTATAGTATCTACCCCAACAATGATCATAGCCCTGTGTTCTACACAGAAGTACACAGTCATCTCAAATCCTTTTTTATGTTATGTCATTTTATTTTTTGCATTCTAATCCCAGCTCCTCTTCTCTCCCCTCTTCTGGCTCCAGCCACCTCCTCCTCATCCCCCTCTTTTGCTCCTCAGAGAAGGTCAAGGAAGTCTGTCCCATCATTTTGAGACAGGACCAAGACCCTCCCCGCTGTGTCTAAGCTGAGCAAAGTATCTCTCCACAGGAAATGGGCTCTAAAAGCCAGTTCATTAACTAGGGATAGCTCCTGGTCCCACTGCCAGTGGCCCCACATACTTCCCAAGCCACCCACTGTCACCTTCATTCAGGGGGTCTAAGTTGGGTCCTATGCAGGCTCCCCAGGGAGAGTCAACTCAAATCTTATCCAGAGAATTTTACAGTGTTCTGGTTTCCCTATCTTGCTTCTTACCACATTTTCAAGTGCTAACTTTCCTAAAATTTGGTTGGCTCATTATTTATTCTTCAACTTTGCAAGAAGGATTGTCTCAACAGGACTTTGTACTCTATTTCTGAATCGATCAAAATTTTTCCTTAGAACTTTCCTTGGCTCTCTTCTTTAAGGTTTTTGGTTAAATCGTGACTCACAAAAAAAAGCACCACTTAAACATATTACGTGGCTGTTTTTTTTTCTCAAATAGTCTTAATTCTTTCCTAGATTTAGGTTCCTCTTTGCCCTTTCTAACCAGTTTGTTGCCCACCCTAGAAAATCAGATTTCCTAAAGAAAGGATTTGATTTTGCTCACTGTTTGAACCTCAATGCCAGAAACACAATAGAAATACGATGGGAAAAAAAACAAAGACAAAAAAAACCCTCTGTGTGTGTATGTATATGCGTGTGTTGCACACACTGGTTAGTGTTGGTATATATGGGTGTACATATATGAGAAGGTTAGAGTTAGATCTGCTGTCTTCCCTCCATTGCTCTCAACCCTTCTTTGAGACACAGAAGTCAATTCAGCTAGGCTGCCTAGCTAATGAACTCCAGGAATCCATCTGTTTCTCCACACCACCACCATGCCCACAGTGCTGCGATTATAGGCTGGCATGCTGGCTTCGCCATGGCCAGCTTTTCACATGGTTCTGGAGATCGAATGCAGTTCTTTGTGCTTTCGTGGTAGGCAGTTTCTGAGCTAAGCTATCTCATACCCCGAAGACCTTCTCAGTACATAAATGAACTGTATTCTAATAAGCCCACCAAAGTGAATTTGAAGGAAACTATTTTCTAGATGGAAATATCACTAATATAACATTAAGTGAAAGTTCTCAGGCTGCACCAAGTTAACAGCATATTTTTAGTATAAAACACCAGCACTGCCCTGAAGTTTCTAACTTAACAGTTCAGGGTGTAAACTATGGGTTTAGAGGAGTAACTTCTAAAAATTCTATACCTCTGTGGATTCTGTGCTCTTGAAAGTATCCTACATGTTAACATAACTGACCATGTGACTGGGTATTATCTGGGAAGCAGATGCAGTCTGAGTGAATGTAAATTATTGACAGGAGCATGGTCATGTCAAGGACCTCAATGCCTCAGATCTGTGGGAATGGCAGAGCCTTCTCCTAGTCCAAGTACTGATGGTACCAACAATTGACTTTTAGCTAAAACCATTGTATGCAGAGAGCATCAACCACAGTTTCATCCTCCAGATGACTGGAACCTGAAACTGCTCCCCTTCAGAGACCTCCTACCAAAATAAAAGCCCTCCTCCTCCTTGTTCAGCTGTATACAGTAAACCCACCTCCTTCCACTTAGTGGCATGTGTTAACCCTGCTGAGAGTTTCTGGGCTGCTGGAATGTTCCTGCCAAAGCACACAAACCACTCAACACCATCTTTTCTATTTATTTGAGTGGTCATGAAGCCATAATGGACCTGGAAACAAGGGTAATGGTATGCAGTGACACAGTACTCTGGGTTCAGTTCAAGAATGAACAACTATGCGATTTGTAGTAGCTAAATTGCCCATGTAAATAACTTAAAAGAGAAAAAAATTATTTTAGCTCATGAGTTCAGAGGAGTCAGTCCACTGTCATAGGAAGAACATGCTGACAAGCACCAGTTCCCATTATGACAGAAAGGGCCTAGGACAAGGGCAAAGGAAAGATGTCTTCAAGCATCTACATACAGCAAACAAATTTCTACAGCCAGATCCTATGTCCCAATTTCTAGAACCATCCAAATTTGTGCTAACATCTGGGAACCAAATGTTCAGACATGAACTCATGAAAGTCTTTCATATTAAAACAATAACAATTCTAGCTGACCATGGCATCATGCTCAGCACTCAGAAGACAGAGGCAGAAAGATCTACAAAGTGAGTTCCAAGACAGCCAGGAATGCTACACAGAGAAACCCTGTCTCAAAAACCAAACCAAAACAACAGCAAAAATAAAAATTCTGAATTAAAATATTACTCCATAATTGGTTCCAAACATGTCAAATATGTGTGTCTGCTAACTGTGATAAAACTTAAATGTCATGTCTTCATTCTCATTGAATTCTAGGAAGTCTTTAATTTCTTTTTTATTTTTTCTTTGACCCAGGAATGGTGCAGTTGTGCATTATTCAATTTCCATGTGTTTGTAGAGTTTCTACAATTTGTGTTGTTGAATTCTAATTTTAATGCATGGTGGTCTGATAGGATGCATGGAGTTATTCCAATTTTTTTGTACCTGTTGAGGTTTGATATGTTGCCAAGTATGTGGTCAATTTTTCAGAAGGTTCCATGTGGTGCTGAGAAGAAGGTATATTCTTTTATATTTGGATGGAATGTTCTATAGATGTCTGTTAATCCCAATTGGGTCATAACTTCTATTAGTTCCTTTGCTTCACTGTTAAGTTTCTGTCTGGTATTCCTGTCTAGTGGTGAGAATGGGGTGTTGAAGTCTCCCACTATAATTGTGTGTGGCTTTATATGTGAATTGAGTTTAAGTAATGTTTCTTTTATGAACGTAGATGCCTTTGTATTTGGGGCATAGATGTTCAGAATTGAAACTTCATCTTGGTGGATACTCAAACCTAAGGGACACTTTGAAAGGAGTGCTATGATGGAAGTTCATAGCAATAAGTGCCCACATGAAGAAACTGGAAAATAGTTATGCTAGAGAATTAACAGCACAGCTGAAAGCTCTAGAACACAAAGAAGCAAACTCACCCAGGAGGAATAGATGCCAGAAAATAATCAAACTGAGGGCTGAAATCAATATAGTAGAAATTAGGAAAACAATACAAAGAATCAAGGCAACAAAGAGTTGGTTCTTTGAGAAAATCAACAAGATAGACAAACCTTTATCTAAACTTACCAAACGGCAGAGTGTGAACATGCAAATTAACAAAATCAGAAACGAAAAGGGGGACATAACAACAGACACTGAGGAAATCCAGAGAATCATCAGGTCATACTTTGAAAACCTGTACTCCACAAAATTTGAAAATTTAAAGGAAATGGACAATTTTCTGGATAGCTATCACTTGCCAAAATTAAATCAAGAGCAGATAAGCAATTTAAATAGACCTATAACCCCTATGGAAATAGAAGCAGTTATCAAAAGTCTCCCAACCAAAAACAGCACAGGTCCAAATTGTCTCAGTGCAGAATTCTACCAGAAATTCAAAGAGCAGCTTATACCAACTCTTCTCAAAGTATTCCATGCAATAGAAGCAGAAGGGTCTTTGCCAAACTCTACGAGGCTTCAATAACCTTGATCCCCAAGACACACAAAGACACAACTAAGAAAGAGAACTTCAGACCAATATCCCTCATAAACATTGATGCAAAAATACTCAAGAAAATACTGGCAAATCGGATCCAAGAACACATCAAAACAATTATTCACCACTATCAAGTAGGTTTCAATCCAGGGATGCAGGGATGGTTCAATATATAAAAATCCATCAATGTAATCTACCATATAAACAAGCTGAGAAACAAAAATCACATAATTATCTCACTAGACATTGAAAAAGCCTTTGACAAAATCCAACACCCCTTCATGATAAAGGTCTTGGAGAGATCCGGTATAACAGGAACATACCTGCACATAATAAAAGCTATATACAGCAAACCAACAACCAACATCAAACTAAATGGACAGAAACTCAACGTGTTTCTGCTAAAATCAGGAATAAGACAAGACTGTCCACTCTCTCCATACCTTTTCAATATTGTACTTGAAGTTCTAGCCAGAGCCATATGACAACAAAAGGAGATCAAGTGGATACAAATTGGAAAGGAAGAGATCAAAGTTTCACTATTTGCAGATGATATGATAGTTTACATAAGTGATCAGAAAAACTCTACCAGTGAACTCCCACAGCTGATAAATACTTTCAGCAAAGTGGCAGGATACAAGATCAACTCAAGAAAATCAGTAGCCCTACTATATATAGAGGATAAAAGAGCTGAGAAAGAAATCATAGAAACATCACCGTTTACAATTGCCACAAACAATGTAAAATACCTTGGGGTAACAGTAACCAAACAAGTGAGAAACCTGTATCACAAGAACTTTGAGTCTTTAAAGAAGACATCAGAAAATGGGAAAATCTCCCATTCTCTTGGATAAGTAGGATCAATGTAGTAAAAATGGCAATCCTGCCAAAAGCTATCTACAGATTCAATTCAATTCCCATTAAAATCCCAGAACAATTCTTCACAGATTTTGAAGGAACAATTCTCAACTTTCTATGGAAAAACGAAAGACCCGGGACACCCAAAACAACCTTATTTAACAAAGCAACATATGGAGACATCACTATCCCTGACTTCAAGCTCTATTATAGAGCTATAGACCTGAAAACAGCTTGGTATTGGCACAAAAATAGACAGGTACACCAATGGAATTGAATTGAACACCCTGATATTAACCCATACATGTAGGAACATCTGATCTTCAACAAAAAAGCTAAAAATATACAATGGAAAAAAGAAAGCATCTTCAACAAATGGTGCTGGCATAACTGGATGCTGGCATGTAGAATAATGTGGATAGATCCATGTCTATTGCCATGTACAAAACTTAAGTCCAAATGGATCAAAGACCTCAACATAAATCCAGCCACACTGAAACTCTTAGAAGAGAAAGTGGATGGTACCCTTGAACGAATTGGTACAGGAGACAGCTTCCTGAACATAACACCAGTGAGATGAATAATTAATACATGGGACCCCCTGAAACTGAGAAGCTTCTGTAAGCCTAAGGACACGGTCAACAAGACAAAACGGCAGCCAACAGAGTGAGAAAAGATATTCACTAACCCCACATCTGACAGAGGGCTGATCTCCAAAATTTACAAAGAACGCAAGAAGCAAATCTACGAAACACCAACGGATCCAATTAAAAAGTGGGCTACAGAACTAAATAGAAAATTCTCAATAGAGGAGTCTAAAATGGCTGAGAGGCAATTGAGAAAGTGCTCAACATCCCTAGCCATCAGGGAAATGCAAATCAAAACAACTCTGAGATACCATCTTACTACTGTCAGAGTGGCTAAAATAAAAAACACCAAGACAGTTTATGCTGGAGAGGTTGCGGAGAAAGGGGAACACTCCTCCACTGCTGATGGGAGTGCCAACTCATACAGCCACTTTGGAAATCAGTATGGAGATTCCTCAGAAAAATGGGAATCAGCCTACCACAAGGCCCAGCAATCCCACTCTTAGGCATATATCCAAAAGATTCATATTCATACAACAAGGACATCTGTTCCACTATGTTCATAGAAGCATTATTTGTAATAGCCAGAACTTGGAAGCAACCTAGATGCCCCTCAACCAAAGAGTGGATAGAGAAAATGTGGTGCATTTATACAATGGAGTACTATTCAGCAGAAGAAAAAAACAATGGAATCCTGAAATTTGCAGGCAAATGGATGGCACTAGAAGAAACCATCCCAAGTGAGGTAACCCAGTCACAAAAACAAACATGGCATGTACTCTCTCATGTATGGATTTTAGACGTAGATCTTGGGAGTGCCAGCCTATAATCCCACGGGTAGAGAGTCTGGGAAACAGAACCTTCATCCAATGACTGATGGAAGCAGAGGAAGACTCCCACAGGTAAACACTGAGCTGAACTCAAGGAACCCAGTGACAGAGAGGGAGGACTGATGAGCAGAAGGTTTAAGACTGGGCTGGTTTAACCCTCAGAAACAGTTGACCTGAACAAGGGGTAGCTCTTGAATCCCAGACTGATGGCTGAGAATCCAGCATGAGACTGATCAAGACCCCCTGAATGTGGGTGTCAGTGAGGAGGCCTAGGCAATCTATTGAGCCTTGGGTAGTATTTATTCCTTGCATACAAATGGACTTTGGGTGCCCATCCCACAATGACAGATGCACAATCACCCTGGACACTTGGGAGAGGGTCTAGGTCCTGCCCTGGATGGAATGAGAGACTATGGACACCCCCATGGAGGACCTCTCCCTCCCTGGGGAAAGGAGGGGATATTGGTGGGGGGGGGGAGGTGGTGGGAGGAGGAGAGGGAAAGTGAGAGGGACCTGTGGTTGACATGTGAAGTAACCTTGTTTCTAAATTAAATTTAAATTAAAAAAACCTTTAATGTCACCCTGGCACATCCTAGGAAAGTCTCTGTGAGGATTGTCTAGTTTGCATTGGTCTATAGGCATGCTGTGGAGGGAAATGTCTGATTTAAGTTCATTGATGTGGGTAGATGCAGTCCATTGTGGGTGGCACTATTCCTTAGGCAGGAGTCCTGAACTGTCTAAGAATGGGAAAATCCAGTTGATAGCAACCAAGCAACTAAGCAAGGATTCAATTACCTCTACTCTTAACTGTGGGTTGTGATGTGACTCACTTTGTTGTTGTTGCTGTCATTGATCCTAACACCTTGACTTCCCTGTCATGAACCTGGCACTGTGAGCTTAAATTAACCCTTCATCTCTAAATTGCTTTGTATCAAGTTTTTTTTTGTGATCACAGTGTGAAATGAAACAAGAACACCAACAACATTGTCTTCTGAGACAGCAGGAAAAAGAAAATTCTCGCAGGAAGGAAGCAGTTGTGGCTAGTGAGATGACACAATAGGTAAAGCACTCGTCATGCAAGCCTGACTCAGGGTTTTGGATCCCTAGCACACACATGAATGACACATGGGTATTGCAGCTTGCCTGTAGTCACAGTATACAGGAGGCAGGGACAGGGAATCCACGAGCAAGTTGGCTAGATAGTCCAGCTGGAATGGTGAGCTCCAGGTCCAAAAGACAGAAGGTGAAGAGCAAACAAGGAAGACCCTTGGTCAACCTCAGACCTCCAGATGTGTGCATACATGTGCAGGATTACCTGTAGACATGCATGCGACCACACACATACACTAAAAAGAAGGGATCCATCAAGTGTTGTGCTAATCCTTGTCCTTCTTACCAGCCTCCCTAATTAGCATTCTGTTCATATGTCTCCTCATTTACTCTAGAGATTTTTATTTATTTTGTAGATGAGGGTGTAGTTGTATATGAGTGTCTGAGTAGAGGGTTAAGTGTGTCGTGACCTGTGTGTAGAAATCAGAGAACAATTTTGGTGTATCAGGTCTCGTACTCCACCCTGTGGAGCCCAATGAGCCAACTTAAGCATAACAGCAAGTGCCTTAATTTGCTGAGCTATCTCAACATTCCAGCTACAGGAATGCACTATAATTTAAAATAATCATTTCCTCAAGTATTTTAACAGAGAGTAGTAGAAGTAAGCAGGAACAGTTTTTTCTCTGTTGTACACAGATACCACTGAACCACAATGGCTTTTTCATTTCAACTTCAAAGTCAGTGTTTTACTATTTACATCTTATTTTCACCAAAAATGCTTTCCAGGCTAAACATCATCATGTTATTTAACAAATATGCTTTTGCTGTGACAAATTGTATAAACACTATAAAGTTATCATCTTAACAACTTTATATGCAAAATGTACAACTCAGTGGTACTGAATACATTTGCATCATAGCAGCTATCAGAGCAAATGACACAAGGCAATTCAATAGAAAATTCAAATGTAATGAAATCTACAAAGCAATTTCTATTATTAAAAAGCTGTAGCTGTAATAAAATATTATTCAGAAATTAAGATCTCACTGATACATTTCTAACATGATAATTTATGGAACATATTTTGAAATATATCTATATACTATTTCTTTTTATAACCCAAAGATGATCTTGTAGATTTCCACAGCAAAAATAGTCATTAATTAATCATGAGACAGACTGAATATTAAGTATACTAAATGTTAGGCTTGTTATTTTAGTTTCATTTAAAAGACAACCATTTATAAATCTTGTACAGATGTTGTTGATAAGATACCAGCTGTGGCAAAGAATACATTTTCATCAAGAAAAAAATGACAACAGTTTCTCTGAGCAAGATTATTAATGGCTTCTTGGGAGTGTTAGATGTTTTCCCAAGATGTTTTAGGCAAAATCATTATAAACACAGCTCCCTCTGTTAGTTATCCACATGTCTCCTGCTTTGCTCTCCTCAGGGACTCCGCCTTACTAAGAGTTACTGTTTCCCATGTATCCAAATTCTACCCATTAGACCCCATACCTTAAAGATTCCAGAGCTTGCCAACATAGCACCGCCACCTGGGGACCAAACATTGAAAATGTGAGCTTGTGGGAGACCCTTCAGTTTCAAGCCTTAACATCGTCTTTTTGTCTGGAGCTTTTGCCGATGTCCCTTTAGCTCTGACAGGCTTCCTACTGTCACCCTGGGTTTCTGTCTTCAACCTGATGACTTTTCCATCAACACTTTCATGTTCTGGGAAGAAGCCAATACAATTCTGCTGTCTTATCTCTTGTAGTCCCAGCTAGACTTCAGTCCGTTGTTTTAAGTACTGGGTCTCAAACACAGCTTGTAGAGAGGTTAGGCAGTCCCTCACCTAGCATTTAAAAATTCTAGCTACCTTTACAGCTAAACTTCTTGAAGGGGAAATTGAAATTCTGTCTCATTATTTTTAGCACAGCTCACACTTGAATCAGGTTGCTTTGACCCAAATGATCTGTGCTGATGTCATAAGGCCAAAAGCATGGATTCCCTTGCTTGCCCTCTACCCCCCCCCCATGGTTTTAATGGATCTTCACACTTCTCTACACTGGCCTGTGAAACATGGCTCTCTTGCTATCCACATCTCTCCCTGTTTTGCTCTCCCCAGAGATTGCCTTACTGGCCCTCTTCTCAAGTCGTACTGCTTTCCATTTAACATCTATAATTGGACAGCACATCTCAAACTCAATGACAAAATTCACTTCATTATTTCCTTCTACCTCTTCCTGTCTCTGGGCATTTTCCTTCCTTCCTCCCTTTCTTCCTTCCTTCCTTCTTTCTTCCCTCCCTCCCTCCCTCCTACCCTCCCTTCCTCCCTCCCTCCCTCCCTGCCACTCAGTTCCCTTCTCCACACTGGAATTGAGCCATTTTTCTAGCATTTAAAACTTATTTTATTCTATTCTCCTTCAGCTAAAATACGATGACAATACAAGACAGAACAATGAAAGTTAAACTTCCCCTCGGGCCCTAACCCTACTGCTATCTTATTTTCCAATTCCCTTTCTTGGTACACACTCTTCTCTCCAGTCAAGCAGAATTCTCTTTTTTAGGACAGCTTTCTCACTTTTCTATTACCCTCTCAACAAGTTGTTATGTCCAAATGACAATGCTGGTGACAATATGCTAAACGGAAGGACTCTAGCTGGGTAAACAGACACCTAAAGGCTTGATTCTGTCTACCAGTAATTGGTCTCTTATGGTGAATTTCTGTTTGTCAGGAACCTTTATCAACTCACCAATAAAGGTCAGCTACCTCTCACAAGGGCATCTAGTTTTCTGGTCAGTCTGAACAGCCCGAATCAGTTCAGCTCCAAGACCCCCCCACCCCCACCCTACTGACTGTCATATAAAATCTGCTTGTTTTTCCTCCATTTTGTTTCTCTCTGCCTACCCCCCCAGCCATAGTTTGTCAGTTTGTTCCCCCAATAAACCTTTCCTTCTGTCTATGGAGTGGTCTAGCTGGATGGCGTAAGTAAGCCCTTGCCTACAATAACCTGTCATTTCCCCCCCATAAATAATTCTGCATTCTACCTCACCTCCCAGCCAAAACCTTAGGTCAATTTAGGTTTCTTTCATCTGCACCCATGAAGAGGCCTCTTCCTTACTTTGCTGTTTTCAGGCTTTTGCCAGATTATCCCCTGGAGACTGGCCAACCATGCCTGAGTGTCATCTGCCATCTTGGTTCTTTTGCAGTGCTCTTATAGGACGATGCTTTTATAAAAGGGAAGAAGGAATGGATATTCTCTGGTGTTAGGATGGTGTTTCACTTTCTTTCCTGTCTTATTTTTGAAACTAAGCCATTGGAACCTATGAACTTACTTCCTGATGCTATCCACAATCAAAGTCTTAATTGCCAGAAAGTAATATAATGCCTTGGTCATAGACAGGGTTCCCACAAACAACCCTGCTCAGTCAGGAATGAAATGTTTGTGGAGATAACCTGTCTAGCTTGAAGAAGACAATTCAAAGACAAAAATAATTCTGAAGTATTCTAGCACCCCATGGCTCTATCCTAAGACCAAGGAAAGATAGAACCACTGTAACCCCATTAATGCTAGCAATACTCTCATTGTACCCCTATACAGAATCACAGCCATCTTCCCTACCCTCACAGGCTGCCCCTGTCCCACAGGAGACTGACTGTCCTTTGCTGTTGGAAATAAACAATCCTGTCTGTTGCGATTAGCCTCTAGTGTTTTTTCTACCTGTGTCTCTTCACAGCGTCTCAGATATCTAACAGAAAGTCCTCCAAGAATGCTAATAGAAGTCAAGTTTAGCTTTCTGTGTGTTTGATGTCCCTTCACTCATAATTACTAATTGATATAGTGACATGTGAATGCTGGGTAATGGAACAGATGTACAATTAACAAATACTTAGTTATTGGCACTTTCTATGGGCTAGGCACTGCAACTGTGGGATACACCGAACATGTTACAACCATGCAGAGTCCCCTGTAATGTTCATCATTCTGTTTAAATGACTGATTTTGTCCTCCTTTGCTTAATATATGTTGAAATATTCTTAATGTGCATGAAATTGTGTATGACACCTCAAATCTGGATGAAATTGTATATATATATAATTATATATATATAATCAATAGCTGGGTACATCTCAACATTGAAATCTATTTCCAGCATAGATGAGTCACTCTGACCTCCAAGGAGGGAGCAGGAAATGAGTCTTGTTTTGCCTCAGCACATCAGGGGACACAAAGCACTGGAGATAGAAAAAAGAAAGTCAGCAGCAAGGAAACAGAGAAGGCTATTTTCAGGCCAATCAGCATCACACGAATTGCAAGCAGCTTTTTCAGTAATAATATATACTTTTTCCTTCCTTTTTAAAAAAATTTAAGTTAGAAACAAGCTTGTTTCACATGTCAATCCCAGCTCCCTTTCCCTCCCCTCAGTAATAATATACATGCATACATATGTATGTATATGTGTTTGTGTATATCCACATACTATATACATATATGTATGTTCACATATATGTGTGTACATACATATATGTACATATACACACATGTATTCACACATACACATATATAGAGATACACTGATCCTTAAAGTGAAACTTGAGGGGCAATAAGCTAAACAGAGAATACAGAAAATTCAACATAACTGAGGATTAAATTTCTTGAATAACTGACAATAAAAAGAAAAAGAGAAGGGGAAAATGCAGAGTGAAGGATGGAGGGAGGAGGGGAAGGAACAAGGTGCAATCAGAGGCTTATACATTTTTCCAATTTGGTTCTTCTTTTGTTCAAGAAATTGTTACATAATCCCCGGTGTGTATATGAAATAGGCACACACATATTGAACCTTCTAACAACACAGCATAAGGAAATTTACTTGATGATTCTTGGGCACCCATATAATTCTACTGCTTATTAAAGATGAAAACAAATTTGAATACTAATGAGACAGATGGGAGGGTTTATTTGTCATAAAGAACTAAGTCTTGGCTGAGTACTTGCTAAGTCAAGATACTGAGTTGACTGATATTTTGATTTTGTTTCGTCAATGCTGAGATCACTGCTTTGAACACCAATTTGCAGCATAAAAGAGCAGAAGTATGTTTAGTGCCATTTCAGATACTGCTGGAAAGCCTGTCCTAACTGGAAGCCAAAATCCATTTAAAGATGTGTGTGTGTGTGTGTGTGTGTGTGTGTGTGTGTGTGTGTGTGTGTGTACGCAAAAGTGAAGTGAGCATCTCAAATAGCAATTTTTAAATACTTAACATTATTGCACGATACAATCAAAAGATTCCAAATTTAACACTTAAATGTTGAGAATGACAGTGGGAACATATTAAAAATCTTGTTTCTCATATAATGTTTCTAAAAGAGAAGAAAGCTGTCTATAGTAAAGGCACTATAATACACTGAATGAAAAATAACATATAAAAGGAGGATATGACTACTACTATCGTATGGAGAAGACTTTTATTGTAGACATAAGGGAGAAGGCAGGCAGAAGAAAGAGTCCAGACTGAACATGGCCAGCAGACTAAACTGGACCATGAGAGGAGAGAAGGGAAGCCTCCAACCAAGAGGCAGTCCTGGCCAACTGACAAAGAGACTGGCATAGTCAAAATGGCTGAGCTATACAGGGATCAGTCTGGGGAAGGAAAGCAGAAGCCCAACCCCTGAGAGGAGGGCTTTTAAGGTAGGGGGAGGGGTTTGGGGTGCTGGAAGGAACCACAGGTATTGAGTGAATCTTGTCCTGGCCTCAAGACCTAACACAGATGGCATGCACAGTACACACTTCTCAGAACCAAGACTGCAGTGAAGTTGCAAAATTTGACACGAGGGAGCAGCCCGATACACCCCAGATCTATTATGCATTTGCTTCAGATTGATCTGGTTGTTATGTGTTCAGAAACATTTTACTTCTACCAATTGTTTTTGGAACCCCTATATTCAACTTATAATGCTTGTGTGGGCTATGATCTACTGTTTAAAATCTGAGCTATAGAGCAGGAGAATTGCAAGATATTTATATATTTGCATATGAGGGAATATTGTCAGATATTTGATTTTAAATATTGTGGATAAATTCTTTTTCTTCGTTTTCTTCTCTCTTTCTCTTTCATTTTTTTCAAGTTAAAAGAGGTTCTAATAAAGCATCATTCTGTGTTTCCTGGTCAATCTTTTTAGATTTTTGGTTTTGGTTTTGGTTTTTCTGGGTACTGGTGTCAGTTTACCAAATCCCATCCCCACAGCATGTTTCCAGTAGGGTTTAAATGAATACAAATTGTATTTGCCTTTTATCCTGGATTCTTGCAAAAAGTGGCTTCTGAGAGAAGAGTTTCTTGGAGAGTAATTTACTTAGGAATGCAGTTCCTGGCTTCAGCTCTGAAAATTAGAGAGACACATGGGAACAGAAGAAGCCAGTAGGAAGTGTGCAGGGATTTGGCTTTCACTTTTGAATGATTTAGACTTCAGTCTACAAGAGCATGTGAAAGCCTCATGAACTGTAACTTAGAAACAATCCATTGGGGAAGGAGAAGTAATGCATTTATCAACCTAGTCTATGGATCACGGGCCAGATGACACCCCTGCAGAGGAACAAGCACAGACTTCCTGAGGATATGTACATCATCTGAAGCCCTTGATCAGGGAGCACTTGATGGTATTTGGTGGTACCTTAAGAAAAGATGCTGTCTCATAGTACCTCAGTGACTCCAAAGCCTGCTGGGGATCTAGCCTCCACAGCCAAGTTGGTATAAGAGGGTTAGAGACAACACATGCGACTTGCTCAAATACAGCTCTTTTTGCCTTGCATTAACTCCAGTCAGTTATATAGTCTCTTCAAAACGTAGGTAGCTAGACTCTCTTCTGATTCAATGCAAGAAAAATGAGGGGAATAAGCCTCAGTGTCCCGTCTCAAAGAGCCAACGTTGCTGATATTTATCTTTTGAACCAGTGTTAGAATTCTCTCACTTGGGTTGATTCCTTGGCTGGATTGTACCTTTTGCCTTCTTATGCTACCAGACCATCTTACCTCTAAAGGATGTAGGTCCTTGATTTCTCTGCCTGTGGTTGTAATTCTTCATCAACAATTGACCCCATAGGTTCCAGACCTATATCCCTGTCTTTACTGTGTAGTAGAAACCAGAGCTCTTCAGGGTAGAATAAACTTGACAGTTTCTTCCTACTTACTAGTACAAAGAGCTTTTCTTTACTTGCTTTGCAATTTTAGGACTAATAAGGATCCAAATATAACTATACAGAAGATGCCAAAAAAAAGATACTCAGAAGGTAATACTGAACATAGTGTTCAGAACAGTGCTCAAGGTCACAAGTGGTCTAATTAACAGCAGCAGGTAACATATAAACTTGACCTCAAACTGCCAATCACCTTATAGTATAAACAAGACTCAACTGTGAGTGAACATATTCCAAAACACAAGATAATATTAAATGAGTCCTTCTCATAATTTCAGAAAATCCCAATACCTGTGGTCATTTGAATGAGTTGTCTCTCACAGGTCTCAGTCATGTAAATACATGGTCACCAACTGGAGGGGGTTTGGAGAGGATTATGGGGTGTGACCTTGTTGGAGGAAGTATGTTACCTTAGGAGGACTTTGAGGTTTCAAAAGACCTCTTTTTTAAAAATATTTTTTAATTTAAATTTAATTAGAAACAAGGTTGCTTCACATGTCAATTCCAGGTCCCTCTCCCTTTCCTTCTCCTCCTCCTGTGCCCTCCCACCAACCCTCCCAATATCCCCTCATTTCCCCAGGAAGGGTGAGGCCCTCCATGGGGGTGTCCATAGTCTGTCATTTCATCCAGGGCAGGGCCTAGATGCTCCCCCAAGAGTCCAGGGTGGGAGAGCATCTCTCATTGTTTGATGGGAGCCCAAAGTCCATTTGTATACCCCGGGATAAATACTAATCTACTACCCAAGGCTCAATAGATTACCTAGGCCTCCTCACTGACACCCACATACAAAAGACCTCTTAGTCTTTTGTTTTTGGTTCAAAATGTGAGCCCTCAGCTACCTGCTGCCTGCTACCTCTGCTCCACCACCAATGGACTCTAACCCTCAGGAAAGGGCTAGCCCCAAACCCCCAAAGAGACTCTTCTACAAGTTGTGTTTCTCATGTTTTATCATAGCAATAGAAAAATAACTAATGCAGCCTGCTTTTTGTTTTCTACTCAAAACCATACACACTTTGTCCCACTACTTGCTCACAGTAGATCCAATGGAAGTTCTTAAGGTCAAAGAAAACTTAACTGAGGAGTGAAGTATAGCCTACCTAACCATTTGTGTTTATTCTAGATGCTTTTGTTCAAGAATAACACAGATAGATGCCTCTATTTACTTTGTGCTCATGTCTGACAGGTTCTTATTTGAATTGGCCTTCATCCTCGCAATAATTGGGAAACATGGGAAAATGAGGAGGCTGGAAAGGTCATTTACCAAAGAGCAAATGGAACCCCATTCAGAAGAGTTGTTTACACAAACATCATCTGGTATGTGGAAGGTACCACATGGTCTGTAAGAACAGTGGGAAATGTGTCTATGGTTTGGATTATTCATACTGTCACTGTCATTCTGTGATGCCAAAAATAAGTGCAAAGGCATAGTTAAACATGCAGAGGCACCTCCCAAAGGAAGGTTCTTGGGCACCCTACTTCTGTGTTAGCCCATCACAGGCAAAGCGGGATCTGCCTCTAATGTTCATAGATTGTAGACTGAGGTGACCTCATCTGCACACCAAAGGCTTGACACTTCACTTATGGCAGAACAGTCTTCTGGGATTTTGATGAGTGTGTTGAATGACATGATTTTTCTAGGGGAAGTGTCTTTGTTAGGTTTTCTGTTGCTGCAGTGAAACACCATGATTAAAAAGCAAGTTGGGGAGAAAAGGGTTTATATGGCTTATATTTCCGGATCATAGTTTATTATTGGAGGAAGTCAGGACAGGAACTCAAGCAGCACTGGAACCTGGAGGCAGGAGCTGATGCAGAGGCCATGGAGGGTAGCTGCTTACTGGCTTGCTTCCCCTGGCTTGCTCAACCTGCTTTCTTATATAACCCAATACCACCACCAGCCCAAGGATACCCCACACACAACGGTCTGGGCCCTCCCCCATTTATCACTAATTGGGAAATGCCTTACAGCTGAATCTCATGGGAGGCATTTCTTCAACCGAGGCTGCATTTTCTCTCTCATGACTCTAGCTTGTGTTCAAGTTGACACACA